TGCTTCAATTTTAATTTATTGTTGACCTCTGTATAATACCCAAAGTAAACAAAAAAAAGAAACTTGTATACCTTGTATATGTCGAGGAAATCCAGAAAATCAACGGCAATCCTGCTGAATTTGGTGTCGTCTACGTCGTTCTCAGGAAATTTGTGCAAATCTCGTGATTCCTGTAGGTAGCCTCAACCTTGGGCCTCCACTTGCGTCAATAAAATGAAGAGGGAGGGGCTTCTTTTCTTCACTTCTTCCATACGTAGAACTCCCGCTGTTGCTTTCTCTCTCGCTCTCCAACCGAGCTTTCCCGCATACAAGCTGTCGTAGACCTCTCCAAGCGGCAACCCCTCAACCCTTAACCGGCCCTTACTTGTAGCCACAGAGACTGAATCCACCGCTATCATTGTTGAAACCTCCTTGATGAATGGTCAAGCCGATCTCCCCAGATTCTCCATCCAAATCCACCGGAGCCTCCTAGAGCCAAGGCCGACACTTCCGTCCACTGCTTCCCGTCCAAACCCACACCCGTTCGGCCTCAAACTCCAACCCCATCCCGACATCTACTTGAAGCGCTCATGTAGCGTGAAGGGGAAGACTGCCTTTTGGTTTTTTCCCCTGAACAGGGGAGACGCCAGGAAGTTGTCGAAATTTGGACTAAAAATACAAAGATTTGGACTTGAACTTGATTGAATAAATAAGGACTTAAGTGAACTCAAACTTGAAGTGGACATGAACATGTAATGTACACAATAATCTACTTATGAGTGACCACAACTCATGACTAAGAGCTGAGATAGAGTTACATTACATGGATTGTGTTTTGTTGTGAAGAGTTCTATTTTTGAGATTCTAATTATTGCTGGTGGAAGAATTGGAGATCCTTAACTGTATTGTGGAATAATTGAAATTCATTCCAAATAAGGAGATGATGAATGTGAAATCCATCTCAGATGAGGGTAATGAATGGCAAATCTATCTCGTGGAAGAAGATATGAAAAGGATTTTTATTTTTTGGAAAAGATTCAGTCTTCAATCTCCTTGATGACTAGATCTTTAGAGTGTCCACAAACTCTTGAGAGAACTTATATTTCAGCAGAAGGGTAACTTGCAAGGGCTATGGTATGGACTTGTGTTGGCTCGATTATTGTTGGCATTGGCAATTCATCAACAAAGTGTTTTGGAATTCCTTATGAGTTCCACGATCATCTATTAAGGAAAAGCTGTTGCGGACTGCTCATGTGCTACCGGCGACTCTCGAACATGGCAACAAACTTACTTGATTGCTTTTACAAGATTAGATTATGTATATCACTCCTTTGCACATGCCAAAAGAAAAAGAATGGAAGCTGTCACATAATAAGATAGAATATGCTACCAAAGGTTTGCTTTCTGGGACCAATGAGCTTTGTATTGGAGTTGTAAAGGCAAAAATCGGCTTATACCGATTTAAAAGATAATCTCTTGGCCCTGCGGAATTGCCTTCTTGATGCTAGCCTGGCTTTGCCTTCTTTTATTAGTGTTTCAATAGGGCACACTGCTTTAACTTCTAAAAGTGAATCCATTCTTGAAGAGATTTCATGCGGTGATATGATGCTCTCAATGGATAAGACGACCTGCTTACAACGATCAACAATAATCAAGGATACAAGTGCATCAATTTCTTATGAAAATTGAAAGTCAAAGTATAATGCATGTCACAAATTGTCTTGGAATTAATAAGGAGGGGCTATGACATATATAATAGTCTTGTGAACAATAGTAAGGAAGTCAATATGTAAGTAAATGCACTCAAACTTGCAAAATGTATGAACTCTTGCAAGCCACTTTAGAAGATGCTTCATTCATGTAATAACCCTGTCTACAAGAGACAATAGTGAAGGTATTGCTAATGTGATAGATCCTCTAGGGACACAAATATGTGACATATCCTCTATGAGCAATGATAGAAGATTGTAGTGAATATGAATATCCATTCACAATAATGGAAAGCTTGCTATGTGCATAACAACGCACCTACAAGTGTTAGTCAGCAGTAGGTCATAGGTGTTACAACACACCTACGATCAATCACTGTTCAATAGTCAACAAATACATTGAGCTTCTACAAGCCAAAAATGAAAAATATATAGCAGATGCAAGCGCCTACAGGCCCCTGATTTCGACATATAGGGCATCAGTAAGAACACAAACATCCAAGGTTGAAAAAATTGATTCTTTATTTAAGCCAACAACATAAAATAATGATGTTGATATAACCTAAGAGTTGCATATCAATCTCTATACAAGCTATGGGAAGAGAAAGCCTGAGCAAATCATTATTTTCAAAGATGGAGTGAGTCTCAGCCCAACCAAGTTCTAAACATTGAGTTGGATAAAATTATTGAGATTTGCAAGCTCCTTGATGAATGGTCATGCATTTATCGTACCACCTATGCAATTATCAAAGCTCTATGACCGACATAAGTTTCTACGGGCTGCTGTAGGAGACCTGTCATATGTCCAAAATGTCCTTGCACATGCACCGTAATTTGTATATAAATATGTACACTAAAGGGATATATATACATAGCCGCATGGGCCCCGACGAGCATGTTATTGTAATACATGTGACGTTTAGGGATGTTACGCGGATCCATAAATGAACGTAATTCGAGCCCGATCATTCTATATGAATAGATAGGAGTCGACACGGCTCAAATTATCAAACAAATATACGTTCAATTTGTCGACTAAAATGTTTGTTTTATACGTTCATATAAGGCCTTCAAAGCCTATGAATAGAGAAATTCATTAATAAAATATAAAGCCTACGAAACCCGATGATCTGTCAATAGCTCGACGGAGTCTACAAGGTTCAATCCATAAATGGAAATGACCCCGTAAATACCCCAATGATGGTCGTGTTGATAGAAAATATCAACCAGAGAGGCTAATTCTAAATATTCAAATACCTTCCAAACTCTACCCAAATACCTATAAAATTCAAAATTTCCAAAAATCCCAAACTCCAGATATTTAATTGAAATCAACCATTAATCACTTAAAGTAAAATTCATCCACCCTTTGTAACAGTTTGTTGAGGTCGATAAATTAAAATTTACTTCAGTTCACATAGAGTTAATGCCTAGTCAAAAATATTATTATGATTCATTCTCAAATAATCTCCTGCCAGTAAGATGTGGTACGTGTCCTCTGATCGGCGGTTTTTCCACCAAATGACACCGCAGGATAAACAGTTATGACTCAGGACCCTCTGAATCAAGTGGTTTTGCCGCCAAATGGCACCACGAGATACGGTTATGGCCAGAGCCAATATGTTCCTTAGTAGCATCAAATATTTGAGATATGAATCAATAAGATATAATCGATAGGGCACAAAGCCCTCTGTTAATTAAAGTGGATTCAAATTTGTCCCTTTAGACAAATATCCACCCCAGGTATACAAGGTACCCTTAGGCAAAGCAACCCATGGCTGCTGATAAGGATCCTTCTGTCAGTTTGGGTCAACTGCATTCTCTGACTAAGTAGACCATGGACCATGATGTCCCGGGATGACGAAACCATGAGATCTTGATCGGGTCTATCATCCATTCCTTCACCATCCGCTTTAAGTGTAAGGTGGTGAAATTTTCTAATTTTAGGCCATTTCCAATTTCTAAGCCCATGCTGCTATTATATGCAAAATATGTATTCCTATGTATCTGATTGACTACTATCAATAATCGAAAGTTCTCTCTCGTGATCGGGAGGGGTAATTAACCATAGGGGCTTGCGCCTATAGGAAACCAGAAATCAGATCATAAAGTCCTCGCAAAATGAGGGTGAAATCTCTGGGGTAGTGTCTTATCTACAAACCCATCTGCCTTCCCAAAATTTACCCCGGAATTTAATTCCGTTAAAACTCCCGAAAGAAAAGCAGCAAGTGGAGGCCGGTGACGAATTTTTGGAGCCCACATTCATCAATGAGGATAGTCATAAATCTTAATATTGTTGTTCGCTCTCTTTTGGTGTCTTTGACATGATAATCTTATTTTATGGTTTCTTTATTATGATTATCATGCAATTCAAGTTTAATAGTAAAAAAAAAAAAGTTTATTAGTTGTAATGTATTGATTTTGAATATAAGAGATATCTAAGAATATTCTCACTGAAGAAATTTTGCAAGTTGTAGAAGGTTACACAACCGTCCTTCACAAAGAAGGAGAACCTCCAATGTTTATATAAGAAATTCTTCAATAATAATGTTTAGGGTTACATGATCATATAGTTATAGCATTACAATTAAACAATAATTAGAAAACAAACTATATTAGAAAAGAGGGGTTCGCCAAACTTCTTTGGAAGGTGAAATCATTTCTTGATTTCTGCAAGTTGTCTTGTAAAGGGGCAATAACTTTTAACATATCCATTTTACATTGAAATTTGTTAAATTTTTAATGATGATCTTCATGTTTGATGAGGGGCTCTTGTTTGTGATTTGTTATTGGTCTATGCACCATTTGAAAAGTTTATTGTATGCTTATTGACTTACTATAATAAAGTGCCTTGCTTCCTAGATATGATTTTGTGTTTACACTGGCCACCGGGTGCTTTAGACACCGTATAGTTTATTTTAAATATTTTCTTTAATGTTAATTAATTTGCATAGGTTTTATTTCGTAGATCCATGGGACATTTGACATGGTTTTTGAAAGTTATTTTCTTGCTATTATGTAAAGATTCCTTCATTGGATATATTCTTCAGTTGTACTTCTTCACACATATGCATTCATTCTTGAGTAGACAAGTTTTAAAATTTTTTCTTTTAGGCTGTTGTGCTAAGATGGCCCTGCATTTTAAATATATTCTTACTTGAGGTTTTAATTGCCAAGGTATATAAACACAATGCATGGGCTTGTACATATGCCAAAATTAAATTGTTTATGCTTTAATGAATGATTTTCTTTAGGCTTAACTATTAAAGGGCTTACCTTCTTAGATGTAATTTGTTGTTATGGTTTTAATAGCCAAGGCCTCTCATCATGTGGAATCCACGGCTTGTAAGTGAAGATGTTGGAGTTGGCTTCAATGCTCGCAAATTACGCAGAAATTTCTTAAGGCAAGATCATTAATTTGTCACTTTTTGAATATAAATATTTTTTGTATATATATATTTTGAAATTTATGGCTGGGAAAGGAAAGAGTTCATGAATTTTTTTACTTGATCTATGTTTCCTGAATTTTCTTATAGTTGATGCACTTGTAATTTATGCAATTCTTCATTTACATTGAGCCATGTTGGTTACTAATAGGTGAGACTAATTTGGGATGTGGCGGCAAAATATGCTGTAATGTTTTAGGGCAAAATATGCTGTACATATGCAAAATATGCTGTAAATGTTAAAAATAAAACTTTTACTCATTTATTAAAATTACAGTTTTGCCATTACTATGCAAAAGGGATAGCAATGGATTGACAGGAGCTTTGTAGTGTCTGGAACTATAATGACTGGTTTAAGTGCCATTGGGATGTTTTTTTTACCTGGATTTTTTAATATTTTTTAATGTTTTCTTCTAGATTTTTCTTTGGCATTCTCTTTGCTATATATTGAAAACCAAGGAGATAGTGACAGATTGAGTGCTCCATTGTAAAATCATTTTTGAGAATTTTTAAGAGTGTTTTCAAATGTTCATCCATAGTGCAGTCATTTTGAAGCTTCCACGTTGTGATCTCTCTCTCAATCTCCTTACGAAATTTTATAAGTTTTACATTTTAAATCTTCAATCTAGTGTTTGTACAAATTGGGAAAGTCTTGATTAATTTGAGCTTACCTTGTATGTCACCAAAGTTCAAGAGATTTTTATCTAGGTTTCTAAATATTGTATTGACGTATTTGGGTTTGCCTCTTGTTTCAAGTGGCATTGTGTTGTGTTTATCGATTGTAGGGGAATGCTTGGTGTGGAAGCTATTCCATGAAGAAGAAGAGAGCTTCTTTGCCATGAGGAAGATTTGTCAAATACTTAGCAAGGAGCTGCTTAAGCATGCATGTAGGCACAAAGTTATATTGTCCTATTTGGTTTATAGTTAGTTTTAACTCTTATAAATATATTTTATTATAGTGCAAGCTTGAATATTCATGTGGTGATTCTTGTACTTAATTCTCACATGCTAGCATGTTAGAGTGAATCATTTAATATTGTGCTCATAGTAGATTTGCTTTTGAATATCAAATAGATCCACTTAGACCACCTATCTATCTTTTTGTGTGGACATTTGTGGTGCCTCTGTTTGATGTTTTTACATCCACATATGTTAAACATTTTAAAGCACTTCAAAATAATTGATGAATCCTCCTTGTATTGATTTGAATAAGATTAAGTTGCAGTGCGTATGTGTACTGGTTGATGTGGATATTACGTCTTCCTTGGATTGATTTGAGTAAGATCAAGTTGCAATGCAAAAGAGTGCAAGTTGAAGATCAAGTTGTAGTGCATACATGTACTGATTGATTTAGGGTTGAATCCTCCTTCAGTTGATTGAGTTATAGTGCAAACACATACAAGTAGGATCAAGCCACAACGTAGATGGATAAAAATTGATGTGAATATCAAATCCTCCTTGGATTGATCTTAGTAGGGTCAACGCACAATGTAGACGCATCCAAGTTGACGATCAAGCCACAATGCAAATACGTGTGGGCTGATGTGGGGGTTGAATCCTCCTTTGATTAATTGAGTCACAACGCAAACGCCTATGTGTAGGTTCTATAAAGTAAAAAAATAAAAATAAAATAAATAAATGTGTAGGTTCTATAAAGCAAGATTTTGCAGCCATTTCTTTTATAGAGATGCATCAGTGAAGGATCCTTGCATTGCTTTCAGATATAAAATAAGGCCATTTCGTGACTTATCATCAAGGGCAATTATTTTTGTTGATTTTTAACCTTGTTTAAGAAAGATAAGCAATCCCAAGTGCTCGAGTTTTGCATTTTGGTTGATGTAATATTGGTGGATTCTACACTCAAAAGATGACATGAAAGCACATAAATTAAGCTATAAAGACTGAAAGGGTGAAGGTGGGAACACCTAAGACTCAAACATGCAATACAAAAACTTCAATAAGATAGAAACCAACTTTTATGATAAGAGTGAGCTGTAATGAGCATCAAGTACCTAGTTGCTAACCATAATTTCTATGTGCTATCCGGATGTAGAAGAAAAAAAAAAGTAGCAGAAATTGTACCTTACTAATTTGATTTTGTAGGCTGAATTCCCGAGAGGGCTAAGTGTAACTTCATACCACGTATCAAATTTTTTGAATTCTCTCTTTATACGCCTTTCTTTTTGTAATACCTGTTAATAGTTTATTACGAAGTTCTTTGTCTTAGGTAGGGCTTTCAACGATCAACTACTTACTGTTAAATTACATGCAGCACTTTTACTGTCGCTTACTCTATGAGACCTTTGCCTTCTGGGGCAATCTTTAGATGCTATCCAGGGTAAGTCAAAGTAAATCGCAATCTTACCACCTAAAGGAATTAAAGAATGATGAAATAGCCATGGCTTCTTGTTAATTTGTTCAGTGAATTCCTTGCAGACTTTGGAAAGTATTTTATGATGATGTTAACAGGCCAAATAGATATCTTCTAGCAAAAGAACAACCTTGCCGTCCTGATGCAACTGACATTGAGGTGAGCCATGGGGAATTCTTAACTCTTTTTGCTCTTCTTTCTACTTCTGATAAGCTCAATTGTATAATTATGATTTTTTATTTCAAAGAACTATCATCCTATGATTATGTCATGGCAAAATATCCCATGTTGCAGAAAAAATGAATTTTGACCGTATGCTGTATTTGGTTGAAATTTGAAGGGGTGTATACAGATATATTAGCTGGTAGAAGACATTCTTTCATCTTAAGCACACTGTTATTTTCTTATATACTTGCAAAATATGCATGCACTATAACATCCATATCCATGGATTTGCTGGCATGCATGAAGCAGGCTTAATCTTTTCATAATAAATTAGTTTGGCAGTCCAACCTTGATAAATTTGCAAAATTCAACTTATGTTCTAATGTATGCTTCACGTGCAGCAAATCTTTGGAACAGTTTCTCAGAAATCAGAGGAAGCACCTTCTTTATTTGGAAAGGCCATGGGCATGTTCAATTCGCTAAACAGATTTATGAGAGCCATCTCTAGGTAAGAAACCCAATTCTAGCTCGACTTGGTGAAGCCCTACTGTGAAACTTTTCATCATATATTCAGTCTGAACAACAAATTCAAGGCCTATTGTCATTTATGTACTAATGATTAAATGACTGTATTCCTTCAAGGTTCTTCTGTCTTCCCATAACTTGCTTCTACGTTTTAGTGTTGATGCTTTTAAAATATTATGTAATTAAAATGTAATTTTGAAGGGAAATAGATTTTAAGCGTTCAATTCCATAAATTGCATTGGCTCAGTCAATACAGTAAAGATATTATGATAGTTCAGTGGTCCATGATCTTAGGTCCGCCAAATAAAACAAGTTCCTTAACAAATTTGAGTTCCAGATACTCATCCATGCGCAATCACAACTTGATACTTAACAATTTTTTTCACAACTGGTTGATCAAAGATGGAGATTACCCTCCCCATAGCCGCTTATCTTTTGTTGTATTAGTATTGAACAATTTGCGACTAATTATATGAACTTCCTTGCTCACAACACAAAATCTGCATCACTCACTGGCAAATCATTAAACCATGAGAGGGTAACCTTGGAGCACTTAAATCAAGAGCTCATCGTGTCTTTGAACATGGATGTTAATTTAGGGGCTTCTTGGTAACTTTAGCTTAGATTCAAGCAAACTTTATTCTTTGATTTGATATTAACAATGCTTACTTTTTGCTCTTTAGACCTTAGGATTTAAGCTTGGATAATTAATTTCTTCTAGGATAACCTCCCCTTACTGTAATCAATTCTTGTATTAGGCCCTAAATAGGTGCCTTACTATTTTTTTATTTGTATCATTCTACCATTAATTAATTCCTACTCAAGTAGTCTATTTAATAATGTGGGCTCCGAAAATTCGGCCCCGGCCTCCGCTCGCTCTTTCTTATTCGGCGAGGGAGTTTTAACGGACTAAGTTCCGGGGTAAATTTTGGAATATTAGCCTAACCCACAAATTAATTCTTAATTGGTCAAATTTATTATCCAAATTATTAATTGATATGTAATTAGCCCAATTAATCATAATAAATTATCCTTATTAATCTATTAATTAATTAAATTAGTTTAATTTATAATTATAATAATTAATTAGTTCATTCCTATCAAAGGTAGTCCCTAATTAGTCTAAGTAAAATCATAATCAATATCTTCCTATTTGTTTAATGCTTTTTTTTTTAATTGCAACCTTAATTTCCATGCTCTTCCGAACTGACTTGTTGGATCATAAAAAGAGAAAAATTAGCTCAGGATATTCTCGCCAAAATTTTGATCAACCCATTGGCTTTATATTGAAATAAGCATAATAAAAATTTTGATTAATTGCTTGTGCATTACACTCATTTCAAAACAGAACTGTTGAGACTCACTCTGATCCAATAGTTTTTTTCCATAAAAGTCAACTCTAAGCACTGAAGCTAGGCTCTCTTGTTGCTTCACTTTCCATCTAAAGAGTTCATGGATGGAGCTAAATAAATCATGTTGAGGGTATATGTGTATATATACACATTAATTAAGTACATACATACATATAAATTTCAGTTTTATTTTGAGCTAATGCCATGCTGCTCAGTCTTGTGCAATTCAAGTTCAATTAGAGATGGGCTTGGCCTATTAATCAGCTCATTGATTTCGATCCAAATTAAAACTCTATCTGATTTTTCTAGCCAAATTAAGGCTTCGTTTGGGACGGCTTTCTCACTGCTTCTTAAAGCCTGTTTTTAAGTATAAATATTTTAATTTTATACTAAAAAGTTCTTTTAACAAGCAATGAAAAAGCCGTCTCAAACGAAGGTCTTGGCAAAAAGATTAGATAATCTCTTTACCTTGTATGTTAGAAGCTCAACTTGTTTATCAAGTTATTTTGACATGGATATTTGGTACTTTGTTTAGCAAAACATATTTAGCAGGGGAATCATTATGAAGCTGGAAACTGTGTTATTTTACCTAACATTTTTTTCAGCTTAATTGAAATAGTCTGTTGAAGTACCTGTCTATCTTAGCGCCTTTATTTACTTGAGAGAGCCCACTTAGATTGATGCCTATTGCCTTGGTCTTTGCTGACACATCTTCTTGAGGGTTCCTGGTACTCTCTAACTTTGCTTAAATATTTTGCTTCTTGAGGAGCTGGAAAGTTTTACTCTTCTCATAATGAAGAAGTTCATGTGAAATCAGGCTTAAACTGAAAATTGTGCTGCCTTTCTCATATTTGTTGTCTTCTATATATGCATGCTGGAACATTCAAGGCAATAGAGAGATAGGGAGTTTATTGTATTAATATTTATATAAAAATTCAGCAAACACACAAATAAAAGAATATAAGAATTATAAGATACCTGAGCTTCTACAAGAAAAATTCAGGCAAGAGAAAAATCACTGGTTTTGATCTTGTTAAAATGATTCTTCTAGTATTTGTTATCGGTTATACATGATGCCTTTCATCGGCGGAAGACATTGATTCAATGTAGTTAACAAGCAATGTATAAAGTATATCATATGATTGAATTTGGAAGTGCTCTATAATATGGAAGATTTCTCTAATAGATTGTTTGTTTGGTCTTGCTTATCTGAGAAGAGGTCAGAGATAAATAAGTTCAGCATAAATCTGATTGCTGATGTTTAGAGTTAGAGTTTGTATTGAATGCATGCATCGGTCTTATAAATGATGGTATGTGTTGACATTATTAGTGATGGTAGGTGAGGAAGTCAACATGCATTAGATTAGCTAGATGACGATAATTAAAAGATTGTAGTCATAGGAATGTAGTTAGTAGTTGTTTAATGTTCAAAGAATCGTTGTTAGGCGTCGATAGTTTGAGGATCAGAGTCGAATGTGATGTATGTTGGTAACCAATCAAGAGGTCTTGGGTAACCAACTTAGAGGTCTTGAGTTTGCCTCTTATGTATGTGATATGCGTGCGTTTGTCTTAATTGACATAAATATTTAAAATAATAAAAATAATAATAAGAGGACAATTTTTAATTAAAATTAAAATTATATAAATATTTTTTGAACATATAATATTATATTTGATAATAGTTTAAAATTTAATGGTCAAATAAGCTTTGAACCAATTTTAATCAAATATAATATTATATGTTATATATACATGTATATATATATATATATATATATCTTAGTTTTAATGAATTTTAAGTTTCAAAAGTAGATTTGCAGTAGCATTTTACCATAATATTTATTGTGGTGATAAAATTTTAATCTTATATTTTATTCTATTGAATTATTTAGAAATGGTTTTTTTATTAAAATTTTTTAATTAGAATTTAGAAATGATTATAAAAAGTTTATCATGTAGCCGATCCCACTTAATGGGATAAAAACTTCTTGTTGTTATTATCGTTGTAGTATTAAATTATTAGAATAGATTAATAGAAGATTAATACTTTAAGTTCTCCTATACATTTTATGAATATTTTCTTCATATTTATATAGTTGTTATTAAGTCGCAATGAATAATACAATGTTAAAGCACAAAGGCAGATAAAATTACTTTTAATACTCCAAAAATAGATCGTTGTGTAAACAAACATACAAATAATCTTGATTTCTGAAAAATCAAGTTGTTTGCATTTTTTTCGTATTGCTGATTATATATATTTTTTGTATCTTTTTTCTATCAGGAAAATTGAAATGTCATTTTAAATATTTTTTTTTGTTACCTCCAATTATTTTTTCTCTTCATCTAATTAAGATTGCACATATTGAACGCCGCCATTAGGGGTGTCAAAACAGGATTTTCGGGTCCGGTTGGGGTCAAACTCAAAATTGATCCTCTATTAATATGTTTGACCCGAACCTTAACCCATTTGTTCAAACAGGTTAAACATCTAGACCCAAACCCACCTGACACCAACTTGATCGGGCTTGCTAACTAGGTTGAGTGTGAGCGGGCGAGCGGAGTGCATGCGAGCGCGAGCACGATTGGCGAGATGCAACCAACATACCCAGCGAGCAGGTGACGAATGAGTCAAATAGGTTGTGTTTGTGTTCATGAGTTAATTTGAACCCCCCGATATTTCAATCGGGTCAAAAAAAAGAAACTTGAATCTAAACACGGCTCATATGTTAAATGGGTCAACCTGAACCTGAAATTTTTGAATCAGGTTCGGGCTACGTCATGTATTGAAACCCCTAGTATGTCATCTTCTTCCCATTGAATATAGTTGTATAACAGCAATTTATAAAAAGGAGCATTTTTTATAATCCAATTAAGTAGAAGAAGCATGTTCAAGAGATAATTTAGAAAGGAGCATAAAGGGAAAAATGTTTTCCAGATTAAAGAATGCGTGGAAGTGTTTAGAATGTGGAAAACTATTTCACATTCAATAGAACATCAGTAGAATGCTGAAAACCATTTTTCACATTCTATTGAATGTGGAAGTAGAATGTGAAAAATTGTTTTTCTTCCCTTTGCTCTCATTTACATCAGATTTGCGAGTACATACTGTGTGATGATCCCTCTCCAGTTTGCTTGTCTTTGTAACTCTCGCTTCTGGCTTCAAGAGTTTGAATCTTGTTTCTAATAGAGTGAAGTTCCTTGATTACATCTTCAATCCCCATGCGCTCCCTGGGTGATTCCTTTGAACAGAAGAGGCCTATTTTGAGCATTGAAGTCAAGCATTCCTGTCTTTTTAACATTTCATCGACAGTTTCTCCCCCATTCTCTTCAAGTAGAAGAATTGGATCTATGATGTCAATTACATGCTCTGGCAATGCATTTTGAACAAAAATGTGGAGGCTTATGCCATCCTTGAAGGAATCATCTAATGGCTTTCTACCTGTAAGCATTTCTAGCAAAAGTATCCCATAGCTGTATACATCTCCATGAGTAGATACTTGGCTGTTCATGCCATACTCTGAGACATATAGAACAAAAATTATCAGAAAGTTACTTTTACGACAAGTGAAATAGTCAAATTATCTTACCAGGAGCAACATATCCAATTGTTCCTTTTATGCCAAGTGACATGGATGAATTCTGAGATGGTCTGTTTGTAGTTGCAGTAAGAAACCTGGCCAATCCAAAGTCTGCAACATGGGCAGTCATGTCATCGTCAAGAAGAACATTGCTAGGCTTCAGATCACAGTGAACAATCGGTGTTTGTCCATGGTGGTGAAGATAATCCAGCGCAGAGGCAACATCAATAGCTATGTTTAGCCTCTGAATGAGACTTAGACTCTTCTCTTGATTCTGATCTTGTTCTTCTGGGTGGAGCCAATTCTCCAGGCTTCCATTAGGCATGTACTCAAAAACTAGAGCATTAAATTCATCTCCTTTATAATCAACGCTTGAGCAGGAACTTATTATCTTAATAAGATTTCGATGCCTGATACTTCTCAAAGCATTGCATTCAGCTACAAAACTCTTTGACGCGCCAAGTTGTTCAAGTTTCATTACTTTAATGGCAACAATCTTCTGCTCACCTAGGTCTATAATCCCCTTATACACTGTGCCAAAAGTTCCTGCACCGATCAGGTTTTCTAATGAGAATCCATCTGTTGCTTTGAGGAGCTCAGAGAAGGAAACTTTTGGATGAAAGTCTTTCATAGAATCTGAGGCTGGAGTCTTATTTCTTCGGTTGTGTAACCAGTACCAAAAGGCGAGTAAACACACTAAAAGGAACAGAAAAAGAGCTGAGATTGAAACTGATAGAATCAGTTTGAGTCGGGGAGAGTGATGGCTTGTCATCTGGTTTTGTAAAGCGCAAGGTGAAAGGTTTAATCTTGGATCTCCTCCACAAAGCTTATCATTCCCAATCAGTGAAACAGCACTTGCATTTCTGAAGACCCCTTTCCTTGGAACCTCGCCCTCAAAATTATTGAAAGAGAGATTCAAATACTGCAGAAAACTCAAGTCCTCTAAGAATTCTGGAATGAGACCAGATAATTTGTTTTGTGAAATATCTAGCTTTTGTATTCCTTTCAAGTTGTTCAAGGATTGGGGGATTTTCCCTTGAAACTGGTTGCTTTCCATAGAAAGAATTTCCAAGGTCACACAATCTCCAAGGGTGCTGGGAATCTCGCCAGACAGATTGTTTGAAGCAAGACGAAACTCTCTGAGATTTTTCAAATTTCTAACCTCTTGTGGAAAGAACCCAGTAAGTAAATTTTGGGACAAATCGAAGGTTTTAGAAAGAGAGTTAATGCTAAAAATCTCTTTTGGTATGGCTCCCGTAAGCCTATTTCTTGAAAGGTCCAGTGTTTCCAGACTTTGACATTCCCTAAGGCTTTCTGGTATGCTTCCTTCCAAAGCATTGCCTGGCATGTACAATTCTATTAGTTTGGTTAAATTGCCAATAGAACTTGAAATTGGGCCAGAGAACTTGTTATTGGACAGGTAAAGTTTCTGTAAGTTCTGAAGCTTATTCATTGTGGCTGGAATGTTGCCTTCAAAATTGTTTTCATCCAAGGAAAGAAATACAAGGCTAACAAGGTTCCCAATTTCTTCTGGTAAGGTTCCTGATATCTGATTCCCTCCTAAAGTAAACCAGCTTAGGCATGTGGAGAAGTTGGAAATCGATCGAGGCAATGCTCCTCCTAACATATTTCTCTCTAATTGCAGAACTTCTAATTGACTGCAATTCTCCAAGGAAGTGAGGAAGCTCCATCCATAATCATCCTTAGCTTCCAGTTCATTGTGATTTAAGGTCAGAAAGAATAGATTTTGCAAGTTGCCCAAGTTTGCAGGAATCTTCCCTGCGAGATTGTTTCCTGAGAGTTCAATGTCCTCAAGCATCGTGGCATTTGCTAAAGACGCTGGGATCGGTCCATGAAGTCTGTTATAGTACATAGTAAGCCCTCTAAGTCGGGGAAGATAGTTTCCCAAGTCCTGAGGAAGATTACCATAGAAGTGGTTGTCTGAAAGACCAATGCTCTCAACGCTTGAAAAGTTGAAGAGAGAGAGAGGAATTGTCCCTGAAAGCTGATTATGGGAGATGACTAGTTCTATGATAGAAGACAAGGATCCAAGAGAATGTGGGATGCTGCCAGAGAAGTAGTTTGCAGTCAATGCAAGGGTGGTGAGCATGGATAGACCACCAAGTGATGATGGTATGACACCAGTGAAGGAGTTCAGTGTAACATCAAAATAGGTGAGGGAAGAGAGGTTCCCAAGTGAATATGGTAGCTCCCCTATGAGGTTGTTATTGGACATGTCAAGATATTGAAGTGAAGAGATGTTGCCAATGGAAGAAGGGAGGCTTCCTGTAAGACTGTTTTTGTTCAGTAAAAGAAACATAAGAGAGGAGAGCCTTGTCAGAGATGAAGGTATGGTACCGGTGATCATATTCTCTGACACATCAAGAGTAAAGAAATTGGTGATATTTCCAAGTGAAGAAGGAATAATACCAGTGAGATTATTGATGCTTAAGTCAAGGTAGATGAGTTTTGGGAGGGTGCTGAAAACTGAAGGAATGCTTCCTGTGAGGAAGTTGTTTTTTAGAGTAATGATCTTAAGGTTAAGGCAGTTGGAGAGGTTGGATGGAAGCTCTCCTTGTAGCTTGTTAACCATTAAACTGATGACTTGGAGCTGAGAACACTGAGAAAGAGTGCTTGGTATTTCACCTGTAAGAGAATTTGCACTCAAGTTAAGGAAACGAAGGTGCCGCAGCCTCCCGAGCTCTCGTGGGATGTGGCCATGGAGATGGTTGTTTGGTAGATTGAGTCTTTGGAGGAAAGTGAGGTTGGCAATGGAGGGAGGTATGGTTCCAGTGATGTTGAAAGCATCAAGGTTAAGCTCAATGACCTTGTAGGAATGCCTGAGGCTGCACTTCACTCCTTGCCAATTGCAGTAGTTGAGTGAAGAATCATTCCATGAGGCTAGAGCTTGCTGTGGATCTTGAGAAATGGAAGACTTGAAGGAGAGGAGAGAAAGCATGTCATTGGCATGGCAGCCGAGAATGAGGATGAGAAGGTGGTAGAGAAATGCTTGCTTGTGTGGTGCGTCCATTGAGAAATTTTCACTCAATGCTAGGGATTGTAAGGTTTTGATTATTTAATTGCTATGTACTATAAAATTTTGATGATTCAAAGTCTGTCACTTCATAATTCTTCAAAGTGGACGCTATTTATTCAACAAAGACCCCTAAGTCTTCCACTAAGCTTCTTCCACTCTGACTTACAGGCTAGAGGAATCTACTGATCTCATGTACATAAAGATTTGATGATCTGAAGTCTTCCACTTTATGTTTCCTAGTGATTTCATGTCAATGAAATGCATAGACTTGAAGCAATAAAATTTATACATTTTCTAGGTAAACTTGTTGACTCCATAATAGTCTTCCCTAACTAATCTACAAGAGTTTTATGCCCTACTTATTTATAAAAAATGATCTTTGAATGAATTAGTATAAACATGTAGATAGTTACAACTAGACTGCAATGAGCCTTGTATTTTTGTATTCCCAATGTATTAAGGCTATGAACCTTTTTTTAATGAAGTAATAGTAAATCATTTATCAAAAATATTATTGAGCTCTACTTGTTGGATCTAAATTTGTCCATGGATAATATTATAAGTCTAATGATAAGAATGGTTACAAAGTTATAGAGAGTAAAAGAGAGATAGAAAGAGAAAACTCTTAAACTCCTTATTTCTAACTCTCTAATCCAATCTTTATTAGGGAGGCGAGGCCTAACAAAGGCTTGTCATAAAATTAAAGCCTAAAGCTATTAATTATATTGAATATATATAGTGGTTTTCAAATAGAGAGCAGGTCATTGTGACATTGTTCCACTATGTTTGCTCTGGTTGGCATTGTTGACCTTTGTACAATACCCAATAGGAAGAAAGATAAAATCATACCTTAGCTCTGTCGAATCCCCGAAATCTCGTTAAAATCCTCGTTACCTCATTCTGTCGTCAAATCCCTGAAATCCTGCAAATCCTCCCGCTCTTAGCCTATGGATACAAGAAAATGTATATAAACAATACAACATAAAGCTCCTAAGTGATGTGTGACTAAATAACAAGTAATTTCTAGTTTCAACAATGAGTGCAAGTTAAATTTTTCTAAGAGAATTTATTGAAAATTTTGTATGAAATATTCAAATTATTCATAATAATTTATTAAGTTCTTAAATATATAATTATTTAAGAACCTAGAAAACAAGTCAAGCCAAAAGAAAACTAAAAATTACAGACAATCTAACAGATATCAAAAAGATATCAACAAGACCAGAAAGAGCAACTCAAAGCTACCAGAATCTAACAAAAGATCAGAGCCCACCACAAGGCCGACCAGGCCAAACTTCAAGAATCCAACCCAAAGGAAAAAGATCAAAGAAGAAATCAGCCATCAACAAAGCCCATCTCAGAGACGATCCAAATCAACCAGCATCCTAAGCACGAGCATCAAACCAGTCTTTAAAAACACAATAATCCACTAGCCTGCTAACCAAGGGGCAAATTATTAGATCCGGTCACCGGACCTAAATTTGCATCGGGATCCCTGCACTTGTCATGCGCTTTTATTGTGCTTTTGAGGTATTTTTGCGAAAGGGCAACTAATACATAATTTTAATTGCATATTAGCTGCCTTTTACTTAGTAAATCGCAGCGAAAGTGCACCAAATACTCAATGAGTGAGATATTTGTTATGCTTTTTGCTATGCATTTGCTTTATTTTTTCAAATACTCAACAAAAAAACAGCTAATATGCAGTTAAAATTGTGTATTAACTGCCCTTTTGCAAAAATATATCAAAAGCGCGATAAAACGCATGAAAAGTGCACGGAATCCAGACGCAAATTTAGATCCGGTGACCGGACCTAATAATTTACCCAACCAAGGCCAGAATAATTTTCAAATATGTTTATAAGATTATCTTACAGAGACTTTTCTAGAAGCTTTAAAAGGGGGCCACTTTCATAAAGAAATATAATTCTCTTTAGCCCAATCAGACACAAGGCACTTACTATTTAAGATTCTGCAAATAATAGAACATTTATAAGCAAAATAAAGAGCATTAACATCAGGGATACCTAAACCCCCAAAATATTTAGGCTTACAAATATCTTTCCAAGCAATAACATGCATCTTCATTAACAACTTCATATGATAGCTTTGTGAAGTCTACTTGCCTTAATAAACTTCATGGATATATTTTGAAAAAAGACTTAGACATCCAACACTAATTACGAGTGTGATTTTCATTTCATACAAAATTAAGTTCTCCAGCCTAAGAGCTGATATTTCATCAGCTTTGCTTTCCATTTAATGGGGGTGATGTTTTGTTAGCTAGCCATGGCTTCCACGCTATGAGTGACCTCACCCAAAATTTTAGGTCGGGGTCAACTTGTTTGGAAAACAGATTAGGTTCGAGTATAATATTCTGACCCCATTGCAATGTCGGGTCGGATTCGGGTTAACTTGAAAAACCTGAAAGCAACTTGACCCTTAATCGTGCAGTCACGCTCGTTTGTAAAACCTGAGAGTCATCCTCTCGATTTGTCTTTCGCTCGTTCGCTAGTCCGTCCATCACACTCATCCCCGTGCTTGTTTACACGCTCGCGAGCTCACCAGCACACTCACACACACTCTCTCTCCCTCGTAGTCTCGCACAACAGGTTCAACGGGTTGGGTCGGGTAGGATCAAATCAAGTTAGAGGTAGGTTTGGATTTGTGACATGCTTAGCTTATCAGGTTGGGTTCAAGTTAGGTCATTTTCGGGTTGGACCCAAACCCGCCCTAATCCAAAAACCCATTTTGCTACACCAACCTGAGCCCTGGTAGTAAGGCTCCGTTTAAGATGGAGACTTAGGGTATGTTTGGAACAAATACAACTTATAAACATAATTAGGCTCCTTGATAATCAAATACTAATCATCTGGTAAATTATGGATGATGAAACTAAAATATCATAAAACGATTACATGTAAGACCTGCAAATCGAGCAAGTTTCTTGAATACATTAGCCAAACAACCTCCTTAATTAACAGTATTTTCTTCAAAATATGCGAGGAATATAACTATTAGAGCTTGCGCTCAAAAACAGTCTTGACCTAGATCAACTTCGACATTATCCTAGTTTCATTAAAAAAAACTTGGCTAAATACAAATTTAGGCTTCATTTGGGACATTTCTTACCGTTTCTTGCAATAATTTTTTAGTACAAAAATTAAAATTTTTATACTAAAAATCAAATGAAGTCAACTAAAGACTTCCTTTAAGACAACATTCTTATAACTTTTTAAAATAGTTTTTTATTACAAAAAATTTCGAGTTCAAAAAACTTTGTAATAGAAAATTACTTTAAAAAATAAGAGTAAAGCTGTCCCAAATAAATCTTAAAATTGATTAGATTTATTGGCCCGATTTATAAATTGTCCAAATCTATGAAGAACTGAACTTGGTCCATGAATAATCATTTTGGCTAAAAAAAACAACAAATTTTGCACAAATTACTTTTTTGACACGTCTATCCAAATTATTTGAAAAAATAATATGTGAATATCCAAAAAAATGATGCATATTTTAGTGATATTTTTACTTCCAAGTCTATATTATTGACATTTATTAGAATTTAGCATTAATTATAAATACTATAATGCTACTTATTTAATTTTTGTAGTGTTACCATTAATTTTAAGCATATTTATCAGACATTTTTACCTTTCAAGGAAGAAAATATCTGAAAAATTATTTAAAAATTTAACTATATTAAATTTAAAATAAATTTAATAAAATAAATAAAAGGAGAGTATGCTTCTGACTTTAGATTATCTGTGTCAGTGTTGAAGCCTGCTGAGGCAGTGGATAAAGCTATCAAAACAGAACCCTTTAAAATATTTTGGATGGTCTTATGATAAGGGCCCATGATATTAATTGAAGTTCAAAGAAACGCCACCACAACAAACTAGATTGGGCTTAGCAACGCTTTGTGATGTGGTAGCACGGCGGAGTTGAGCACCACAATATCGTCAGATAGATCGATGATAGAGGCTTGAACGCCGCAATACTCCAAACTGATGTCGCAACGCTTCGAAGCGGGCTGAACTGTTTTCTTTCTTGTTTTTCTAAAGGGTGGCCTCCCTTGGTGTTATTTTACTTGACTTTCTTTTGTGTTTTCTAGGTGTGAATGGTGTAAGAGAGAAAAGAAGCAAGGAGAGAGAATGAGAGAAGAGAAGCAAGGAAAGAGAAAGAGAGAAGAGAGATTTGTATTTATTTTTCCCAATTTTAATAATGAATTTCTTAGTGTAATGTGGCTACGTGATTTTTCCCGTTTTCAGTTTTTCTAAGTTAAATCTTGATGCCCTTTACTTCGGCTACTTTTTCTTTTTTCTCATGTTTATTTCGTTGCGGTGTTTCACTCAAACTAGTAATATGATAAACTATTGCTAAAAAAAGTATATTCTATGACTATTTAGTAGTCACTATTGCCAATTATTGAAGGTGGATGGATGTTGGCCCTTTGCAACGATGGGTCAAGCAAATGCATGTGATGTAGGCCATCCTCCTACATTTAATCTTTCTATTTTAATAGGAAAAACGTTTTACTTGCTCACGATGATCTATATTGTACCTCGATATCCAAATCTGGCATACACTTAACGCGAAGGTATGACTTTCTCAGTCATATTTGACAAAGAAATTTGTGTTGGGGAACAACTGACAATGTTGCTTCAATTTTGGTTTGTAAATAGAAAAATAGAAAGGAGTGAGTGAGTGAGTGCTGCCTAATAAGGGAAAGAAAATGAACTAAAATATTCTTATATCAAATTTATTATATTTATTTTAAGAGATCTGTAATATAAAATTTAATCAATTATCATGTAATATATTAAATTTTTTTTTAAATTAAATGATTTAAGATTAATTCTTGTTGTGTGCTAGAAAATTTGTTATTATAGAGAATTTTATTTTATTTTATTTGTTTTATATGAAGATCTAGTACACATACGGTGATAAAAGAGAAGAATATTGGAGGCGACAAAAATTTTATGTGAAAAAATGTAAATTATAGTCGGCGCTAGTGGTAAGATAGTAGCATTTGGGTCATAGTAATTAGGTGACGGTAATTAGAAGATTGTGATAGAGCAATGACAATTGTATGATGGGAAGTAGATTATAATAACTAAGTGAAGATGGTCAGATTCAGACGATTGATTAACATAGATTCAATGACAGCAATCAGATGATAGTAGTTGCTGGTGGTGATTACTGATATCAAATATAAGGCAAAACAGAAGAATTTTTGAGATCTCCAAAATTTCTGTAATCTCATATTTGTTGTATCTTATCATGTGAATAATGGTAGTTTATTTGTTGTATTTTGATAGTGATATTTTGATAAATTTGCTCAAATTTTCTTAACAATTTATTGGACGACCCATTGAATCCTTTGATCATAAACTGTTTATTCTATATTTAAGTGCTTTAGTGAACTTAAAATTATATGAATTTTGGATTAGTCTCTTCGAGCCGGTCAATTAAATTATAAATACGTACACTGTGGATATTGTTTGGTTCACCAATTAATATCTTGAAGCTTCCAACCGTGCCTCATGAGCTTGATTTGGGTTCATCTTGATTCAACTCAAATCACCATTGATGTTGTTGGCTTCATCTTGTTGAGAAATTCTATTTATCTAGAAATTTTCTAAAAATTGAGCTTTGGATGATTTTGCAATTAATTTTAAAAATCTTTAAGAGAAAATAACATATTGAGGTTTGTGTCAACCAGTAAATATTATTAAAATTTATTATTTACATCTTTTTTTTTAATATCTTTTTTTGTGTCATCTGAAAATATATATATATTCAATCTTTGAAAAATTTTGGAAATAAAAGCATAACCAAATGCAAACTTAAGCTTCATTTGAAACAGTTTTCTGACTGCTTTATAAAAAAGAGTTTTAGTATAAAATATTTTGTACTAAAATTTTATTTTATAAAGCAGTACGAAAGATGCCCCAAACAAAACTTTAACCCTTACAAGTGATCGGAAAGCCTTGACAAAAAAAGCACATCATAAGCGTATTAATTATGCATGATAATTCTATAACAATTAATATGTTCGTAGTTATCAGATGTCTAATCATAAGGATTAATAGCATGTAAGTTGAATAGAGTTATGATGGGATGAAGAAAACTCGCCTCTATCAAATGTGACGAATTTTGAAAATTAAAAGAAAGTTAATCTTGAGCAAGTTGTCAAAGGCCATCTTTTATAACATCACGATGGTCATCATTGGAACTTTTATTTGGTCCGGTCACAGGACGTAGCTCTACGTTCGGCCGCCAGTAGAATCGCGTCACACGTTCTTATTATTTACCACGCGCCCCGACAACCTGACCCAGAACGAACCCAGTATTGCTCGGTATTTCTCGATTTTGCTCGGTATTGCTAGGTATTGGTCGATTTTGCTCGGCAAATACCGAGCAATACCGAGCAAATACCAAGCAATACCGAGTTTTTCAAGAAAAACTCGGTACAACTCGGTATTGCTCGATATTACTCGGTATTGGTCTTCACAGAGTGGTATTTCTCATTATTGCCAAGCAATACCTAGCAATACCGAGCAAATACCGAGTAATACATAGCAATACGCGAACATAGCATTCCCGGGTTCCGATCCAGGTCAAGTCGTCGGGCTGCGCATTAAAGAGTAAGAGCACGTGGCGACATGTTATTGGCGGCCGAACGTAGCTCTATGTCCGATCAGAGGACCTAATAAAAGTTCTCATCATTGAGGCGAGATTAGATCAAATAAATTATGATCTTGTAGGGATTATGAGCCGATCGGAGTCATATACATGTAAATTAATTGTGTGGCCATGATATTGCTAATATATATATATATATATGGTAGTATATCATAAGCTTAAAAAAGGGCTAAATAATTGTGTGAGTTGGTTGACGTAAGGAAAGAAGAAAAGACATTAAAAAGCATTATCCCTTTATTTTTATATAGTAGAGCCTCACTCCGGTCACTATTGAGGTTCCCATTGTTCGTGGCAGAGCTGCAAAATGGACCGTCCGATTCGAGCGGGCCTCACAGATCTAAGCGCCAAGTCTTAGACCAAATAATTGTTAGGTTTGTTTGAATATATGCTTATATTGAAGAATAGAATAATTCATCCTCATATTATTTTAATTGTTCAACATCTAGCATTGGTAGAGCTTTGTTGACGGGTGACGGAGGTCGGAAGAGTCATAGTTAGCAGGCGATATAGGTTGAAAATATGAAACTCCTTAAGTAAAACAAATTAAACTCTTAAACATCGAGGTGCCTTTTGGTGTAATGTTTAAAATTTTATTAAGAAACTCCATAATTAAACGTGCTCATCGCAAAGTAATTTTGAGATGGTTGACCTACTGAAATGTTACACCAACAGAACAAAACCGTGAGGCTCTTAGACCAAAGCGGACAATATCTCGATAGTTAAGTGTTTGTGCTCTTATAGGAAAGACTGTAGTCTGGTGATAGAGGTCGGAAGGATGATTGTCGGGTGGAAATCCAATAATAATTGGAAGCCATATGGAAGTTCGACGTTAGTGGCTTGGTAGAAGTTCGGCGTCAGTTGGTGGCCGGCAAAAGTCCTATGACAGTTGGTAGCTGGAAGAAAGTCCAATGACAGTCCGTGGCCAAGCATAAGTTTGCATCCTACGGTGGTAGGGTGAAAGTCCGACGGCTGGTGAAAGTGTGGCATCAGGCATAAGTACAGCTTCAGGTGGTGGTCCAACGAAAATCCTAGCGTCAGTTGGTGATCCGACAGAAGTCTGGCGTCGGGAGGTGGTCCAGCAGAAGTCTGGGCGATGGTCGAGGAATAGCTAGGTGGCAAGAGCGATCTCTGATCTCTCTTCTTGCTTCCTTGCTTGGGGTCTCCTTTCATGAGAAGTGACTAATCTATTTATTGATTTCTGATAGTGGCATAACCCATAAATAGAAGAAAGATCAATGGCAAATTGGGAATGATTTGGATGGACTACTGATGTTAAATCCCTTGATTGTGGACCGTTTATTAGGCATTTAAATGCCTTAATGATGTAAGAATTTCACGATCTTAGGCTCGTTAGATTCATCTCATCGAGCCGCTCGATTCAACTATAAGCATGTCATGTTTAAAAGCTTTTTGGTAATCCAAATTATGATTTGAACCTTTCAAATGTGCTTCGGGTCATTGATTTGGACACATTTGAGCACAGATTTAGTCGAATTTGGCGTCTTTGTGTTTGTCTTTTCGAGACGTTCAGTTCAACAAGATAGTTCCTGGTTTAATTTTGCCTTGAGGTTCGTGCCCGATCAAGATAATTTTAATGATATATCAAAAAGTACTATGGTCAAAACGTGAAAAATTTGACCCATTAATTATAGATGATTATATTTCTAAATTCTACATTATAATTACATATTTATAACTTACCATTTAGTATTTTAAATCAGTAATTTTCACCATAAGGATGAAAATTAACGCCCCAATTATAATCGTGGGCCTTTTTCTTTATTATTATTATTATTTTAATTTTTTGCCTTTTGGTGGTGCGATGAATCTGATGAGCCTGATTGCAACCACGATAATAACGAGACCGAATTCGTGGTTCGTACGTGGTCACATCCCGCCAAGAAGGCATCGTCGCCCCGGCAGGCTTGTCTTGTACGCCTCAGAGGTACAGAGCATACACGTGGCATAATTACAACAAAAGATCAACCCGGATGTCCCTACGTTCCTGCCACGTTATCCTTCCGTAGAAATTGCATTCATCTTCCGTGTCGATCCACCGAGTTGCCCTTCCTGTGCCCCAACCTGCTCCCGTACCTCCCGTTGAGGACCAAACTCCAATCCTCACCATTGGATCTCCGTATTGCACGACTATTGAGCAAGAAGTTAACCCCGCATCACTGAAGGCTATACAGCTCTTTGAGCGGTCTTGGTGAGATGCGGGACCCCAACGTGGTCCGGTTTATGGCGACCCATGTGGCCGAGCATTCCAGTCATGATACTGTCACATGGGCATCCAGCGACCGGTTGATGTGGCACGGCAACCAACACACCGCCGGCCGCGTCGAACCCGGGTTTCTTGGACCGCTGGCGGCTCACCCTTATCGTTATCCTGCTTGTACTCGCTGCTTTACACGATTTACGATGCATGACTCATCATCCAATCCCTGCCGTTCATTTTGGTACGAACGGCTTGTATTCATGGTCAACCCTTCTTTTGTACAGCACTCTTGACATGACCTCGAAGATTGGATCCACCCGACTTCAGCTCTCGTTAATATCAATGACTTGTAGAAATAGCTATTTTCGATTTAATTAAAGATGGATGATATTTAGGCTTCATTTGTTAAAAAAATTTATATTAAAATGATGTTTTAAAAATTTTAAAAAAATCAAAAATAAATTTCAGTGAATTAAAGAAATTTTATTATTGTATAAAAAGTTTTTTATCATAAATAATTTTTATAAAGTTATGAAAAATAATAAGAAAATTATAATAAAATAAAATTATAATTGAACAATCAAAAAATTACCTCTAAAGGACCTGAAAATCTATTGGAGATTTTCAATTTTTTTAAAGATAATTATTGAGCTATTAGGAGGAAAATATATTTTTAAATGTTAAAAATAAAAAAAACCAAAATAATTAAAGAGAATTTCAATTGCAATCTTGGGAGATTTTTCGGATTTTTCTCTTATATAAATTTAACAATATTCTATATGAATAGATATAGTATAAAAAAAAAATAAAAAAAAAAATAATTCTATCTTAATTTTCAAATACCTAAAATTTTAAAATTATTATGATATATACTATTATGGATTAGAATATACTCAACTATAAATTCAAATGTATCTTAAGATTCGTATCTGATTAAGATAATTTTTTTTATGATATATCATATGTTAAATCAAAATATTAAAAAATATTAATATTTAAAATTTTTAAAATCACAAATTATAAGGACTGTTTTTTTTCTGAATTTGTAAAAACATTTATTTTTTTCTTTATATTTCTAATTTTATATTTTAAGAAAATTACTCATTATTTAAAAAAAAAAATTGAAAATGGATTCGTGGCTAGGCGTCGACTTGCCTCGCCAAATCGAGCGTAGCAACGACATCGTGTCCTGTCTGCCGGGAATCCTAAAGACCAACTCGCCTTCCAAATCCCTGACACAACGCTAACCATCTACCACGTGTCCCACTTTCTTCCCCGCGATTTCTCGCTCTTAAATATACCCGCTGCATCTCCTGTTACGCTAGTCATGAGAGACACCTAACCCGGGTTAAGTTAACTCGACCCTGTCACCATCCAGCTTATATTCTCACACCCTCCCCTCTCAGCTCTCATGAAGGTAGTGAAGAAAAAGAAGGATTGAAGAGAAAGAGAAAGAGACTGTGTGAAAGGAAAGAGAGAGACAGAGTATGATGGGAGAAGGGATACACCGTAATCTGATGGTGGACGTGCCGCCATGGTCGATCGCCGACGATCAGCTTACAGTTAGCGATTTGGGCGGTTGCATCGCCGGTGATTACTTGCTGAGTGAGGCGGTGATGGCGTCGCTTCAGCGTTATTTGCCGGCGAACGAAGTGACGGACACAGAGGATGCGGCTGATCTCGCCGATCCGCCTATAGACGCGTACTCATGTGACGAGTTCCGCATGTACGAGTTTAAGATCCGGCGATGTGCTCGTGGTCGGTCGCACGATTGGACCGAGTGCCCTTACGCCCATCCCGGCGAAAAAGCTCGGAGAAGGGATCCGAAGATCTACCACTATTCCGGCACGGCATGCCCTGATTTCCGCAAGGGGAACTGTAAGAGGGGTGATGCGTGCGAGTATGCACACGGCGTGTTTGAGTGTTGGCTTCACCCTGCGAGGTACCGTACCCAGCCCTGCAAGGACGGTACGGCGTGCCGTCGCCGTGTGTGCTTTTTTGCGCACACGCCGGAGCAGCTTCGTGTTTTGCCGTCCCCGCAAAAACAAAGTCCTAGGGCAGTTCTGGAGTCTTATGATGGGTCTCCGATGAGGCTACATGCGGTGGATGCTTACTTTGGAAAGGGACTGATCCCGTCCACGCCGAACTTAACCCTGATCTCGCCGCCGATGTCTCCGACGGCGGATTCGCCGCCCATATCTCCAGCTAGGCGCGGTTCGTGGCAAGTGGGTTCTCCGGTCAACGAAGTTTTGATGTCTCTGAGGAAGTTGCACTTAAGCAAGGTGAAGTCCGTACCATGCTCTTCTTTTGATGCAGTGCAGGGTGTAGGGAGTGTGTTGGGGTTAAAACCGGGGTTCAGCAGCTTGCCGTCGACTCCGACGAGGGCGCTGGTCTCCGGTATCGGCGGCAGCCCAATGAGTTCTGATGGGTTCAACGATGTCGGAGAGCCGGTGGAGAGGGTTATTGAATCTGGGAGAGCCCTTAGGGCAAAGATGTACGAAAGGTTAAGCAGAGAGAGTGGGCTGGGCCAGGTTGAGGTCGGGTCAGCCCCCGATGTTGGGTGGGTTTCAGAGCTTGTTAAGTAACGAAAGAAAAGATTAGAAGGCGGCAGTAAAACGGGAAGGAAAATTTGAGTATCAGCAGCAAAAACCTAAGCTTTTTATTATTATTATTATTATTTCGGCATTAATCCGCAAGCTTTAATTCATTAGAAAAATAGTAAATTTATAAATCTGAGGCGAAAAAAAAGTGTTTTGTGGAGCATTCTGAGATCGGACATCTACAAATTGGAGTGGCAGTAGCAGCAGATCGATCAAAGCAAGCAAATGGCTTTTCTTAGGTCTCTGATCGTAATTTTTATTTCAGAAATTATCTAACCGTCAATTTTGGAGCTGAAGCTTCTGGGTTTATTATATATTGTAATTTTGCTATTTTATTCTGTAAGACTTTCTTAAATACTGAATGTAATCTGTAAATACTGATGTAAATTTTAATTTTTTCTGTAATTTTTTTTGGTTTGTATGTAAGGGTCTGTTCAATTTGGTGAGCTGTTATATAAATATGTTATATGTATTTCAAGTAAAAAAAAATGTTCTGTTCGTTCTGTAATTTTGGAGATTTACAAGGAACTGAGGAAATGAGGCTTTATCGTTCTGGATGTTTCTGGAAAGGCATATGCCATGTAATGTTTCTATGTTGTCCTTATCTATACACACATTTCTTAGATTTTGTTTTATTTGAAATAATTGTTGTAGGATGAGGCTTTTGTATTTTGTGTGTGTTATTATGCTGCTTGGATTGGCTTAGGTGGAGGTGAGAGATTATTCTTACGACATCGACACAGTTCTATGTTATGAGATGAATCAGGTGCAGCTACATATGAGTATCGAGCATGTTAGGTATTAGTCCTAGATTTAGGTTTGTTTTTTGTATAGCTTAGGTGTAGCTATTTGTATAGCTTGTAGAAGCCTATTTATAGGCTTTAGTTTTGTATTAGGAGGAAGCCAAAAGGAAATAAAGATTTGCTGTGCATTTGGCTCACCGCCTTCCCTCTCCTCTCTCCCTCCTCCTCCTCTTTCAAGATCCATGAGGAAGTGCTTCTTCCTCAAGTAAAGGGATTATCTTAAGTGCATCCTTAATCATTCTGGTCATCCTTTCCTCAAATGTTTCATTTGGGATGATTTTTTCTTGTCTAGTATGAAAGTTATCTCAAATAACGCATAATTAATGCGCGTGAAAATCTAGAAATTATGTATTGTTATATTATAGTTCTCGGAATTATTATTGATTGTTCTTGGCTACAGAGGACTTAGGTCAATTTTTTTTAAAATCTCTTTAACAGTTATTATTCTTAATTTAACTAAAAATGGAGCTAGATTTTTAGTTCTATTATCTTATTATTTGTGTTATATATGATTGTGTAGGAAAATTTATGGAGGTGGTGGTTTTAATTTTTTATTTAGTGTGATATTCTTGCATGGATTTTAATTTGGTAAAAGAGAGAATTATAGGGATATTAGTATTTTTGAAAAATTAGGAGCCTATTTGTAATTTTTTTGTTGGGGCATTTTGATATATTGGGATAATGTAAGATAGAGATCTAGAGATTTTAAAATCTCTAAATTCCCTTTAAACTCATGTCATAGATCATATTAATTTGGAGAATATGAGCTTATTTCTAATTTTGTTATTTGGCATTTTGTAATAAACTTCGCAGCTATAGTAAAAAGATTATAAGAGAAATAACGATGTGAAGATGATAATATATGAATTGTATTAATCAGACAATAATGATTGAATGTCAAGAAAGCTGACGGATAATGAATGGAATATGACAACTAACTGATAGTGGTCATATGTCGACAATCAGACGATGGCGACTGCATTATTGTAGTCGGAAGATGATGATTCGAAGTGATCGTTAGTGTCATACATTAGGTAGAGTTGATCAAATCTTCAAGCTCTCTCCGCGTACCTTCAACTATTATCATCTCATGACCTCTTTTATACAAAAATATTATATAACCTTATCTTGGATCTAAACCATCCAATGAGAACAATCAATCCCATTTTCATAGGAAGATTAAAGTTTGGCTATAGAGATTTTGAACCTCAAATAGCCCATCCAATCTAACCAATTAATTTAGGATTGTTGACCCCCATATCTAGGAGAAGATTATAGCCTCGTCATAGGGATTATGAACCACAAACACTTATCCTCTAATCTAATTAATTCAATGAAGTCAATTGAACCTATTGTTAAAGAAAGATTGGAGCCTCGACTTAGAGACTAAGAAAACTCAAACACCTCTCCTCAAATCATGTATTAGGATAATTACAATAGTAGGAGGATGACTTAAAGATGTCCTAAGAGAATATTTACAATAAAATTTATAGAAATAAAGATGACTTTAATACTCGAAGGGAAGAATCATGACGAGAGTAAGATGAAGATGATCTTGAAGAATGATAACATAAATTTTGTGGATATTGCCTATAAATGAAAGGCTAAGTATTATATATATGATTAATATTGCTCCAAATAAAAAAAAAAACTATTAAAATGTATTTCACCTACCTCTCAATAATATTTATTATATTATACATATTAACACAATATATTAAACGATTCATGTCAAGATCAATCGAAAATTCTTGCGCTAATTTTCAACTATCTAATGCAACCCTCTATATTTATTATCCATGACTTGGGTTCCAACAACAAGTGTTAGAAATGACCTCAGACAGAGACCCACCTTAAACTTTGATGGTCACATAAACTATCAGCGTTTCGATTACTGATCTGATGGGAGAAGAATAAATATATTAGATCTAACTTATGTTAAGAAATATAAAGAAAAATCTAAAAAAAATATTTATTTGAAAGTATTGAAATTGAATTTTTTTATTAAATTTATATGAGAAATAAGCTCTTAATAGAACACAATAATAATAATAAATAAATAAATTCAAGGAACCGACATCCTCATTTAATGCAAGACAGTTAAATTATTGAAATTGTGAAAATGAGGAGGACATGGGAGGAGGTTGGTCTCACGTGAGAGTCACCTACTCCTTTCATTGGTATAAATGGAGTAATGGGCCCACCAATCTTCCCTTCCCTTTCGGCTTTCAGCCTAAGGAAGGAAGGAAGGAATTAGGAACAGGATTCCATCAAGAGAACATCTTTTTTTGAAAAAAATCTGTAAATTCTATTTTTATATGCTTTTCCTCATATGGTGGAGATATGTAAGGATCTATAAAGTCTAAAGTTATGCAGGATTTGCTCATTTAATTACCTGACCATACTACTTACTTTGTATTGTTTTAATTAATTCATTATTATGCACCAATTGCACGTTAATTAATTAATTTATTTCATTTTAAAACATTTTATGCAAGCAACTATTTATTATTTATTTTTATATTTTGAGTTAAATTAAATTAAATGAGTATTTTTAGTTCGGGTCAATTTTGATTTTTAAATTAGACTCTATGTCACCCTTATTGATTTTAATTAATCAAAATATTTATTAATGTTTGAATTATGTTTTTATTTTATTTTATTTTGTTGGTTCATCTTGATTTTATTTTCATGATTTGTTTGGCATAGTTTAGTGTTTGAATTAGTTTGATTGTTATAGATATTTTTTTTCTAATTTAATTAGCTTAATTTTTAATCTTGTTTAATTAGATTCCTAACAATGGTAGTGACCTACCCATCACTCACTCTAGCCTAGCCATATTCCCCTCTCCCTTTAGATTCTTTTTTTCTTAAAAATATTATGTAAGTACCCAATATGGCCAAAAATCTTCTTTTTTATCTCTCAACTCTTTGTAAATGATAATATTTATATCAATTTTTTGATATATTCTTTTTATTTGTGGCAAAGACCTTACTCAAAAGCTATCTTGATACAATGTGAGACAAAGACTTCATTTGGAACCACTTTCTTAATACTTTTTAAAACAGTTTTTTAATACAAAATTTTAATTTTTATATTAGAAACATATTTTAGGAAGCAATAAGAAAGCCGTCCCAAATGAAGCCTTTATAAAGCAGCTTTCTAGTACAAAAATTTGAAATTCAAAATAATTTTATGCTAAGAAACTGCTTCATAAAACAGTAATGAAGCTGTCCCAAACGAAACCAAAATATGATAATTATGAGTGGCTCCACTCAAAACTTGTGCATACATTTTTCATAAGCCTCTTCTAACCAATGACAACATTACATAAGTCATTCCTCCTTTATAACTCTACATCATCTACTCTATTAGTTCATCTTTCATATATATATATATATATATCTTCGTATTCAGAACTTCTTTTTTAAGCTTAAACTTAATGGTGAAGTTTCAGTTACGATTTTGAATCAAAGGAATGTTTTGATTAAGCTTTTTAATGACATAGATTACTGTAGAATTTTTGCTCATAGAACGTATTTCGTGAGCAACTGTTTTATGAAATTGGTAAAATGGACTCCTAGCTTGGATATTGAGACAGAATCCCCTGTTATACCTATTTGGATTTCCTTCCCTAACCTCCAGTCTCACTTGTTTGCCCCGCGTATTTTTCATGGTCTAGGTTTAATTTTTGGCAAACCTCTAAAAACTGATAATGCTACTAACAATGGATCACGTCCTTCAGTTGCGCGTGTTTTGGTTGAACTGGATGTGTCCAAACGGTATCAGGATAAAATCTGGGTTGGTTCAAAGAGTTCTGGTTATGTTCAATCTGTGATTTTTGAGGATTTTTCGGAATATTGTGCTCATTGTCTTGCTTTGGGTCATTCTAAGGCTAGGTGTAGGATTCTACATCCTAATCTTGATTCTTCTATTTTGTCGAATCATTTATTTGCTGCTGAGCGAGTGATTCCGACTGTTGGTTTTGATTCTACTGTGGTTGAGCCTTCTATTGATCCAACTATTGTTTCTTTTGATATGGTGCATCCTGCTCAAAATGTGAATGATGTGGTTGAGGTTAATTCTGTTAATTTGCCTCTGGTTTGTGGAGTTGTAGTGGATGTTGAAGCTGTCGTTTCCTATTACTCCTGGTTGTGTGCCTAGTTCTATTGATCATTTGCATGTTTATTTGAATAATGGTCTGAAGCCTTTGGATAAGGATTGTGTTGTTGTTTCCTCTTTGCAAGTTTGTGAGGAGGCTCGGGCTGGGGTTTTATCCTCTAATTCGTCCCCTCAGGCTTGTCGTAGTGTTGAGGGTCAATTTGGCTATGCTTTAAATACTGATTCTTTGTTGCCGGTGGTGGGTGCTGCGTCTACCCCGTGTGTCTTAGATGGCAATCCTATGCCTCCTGTGGTTGTTGAACGATTGGAGGGGTTTGCTTCTGATAATGTTAATTTGGGTGGTCTTATGTGTGGGGGTTCTAGCTCTAGCTCTAAGTGTGATGCCCCAACCATTTCCTCCCCTGTTATGAATGGTGATTTAGTTCATAATTCTTTTGTTGATGTGCCGGTTAAATTAATTGAGCCTCAAGCCTTGGTTTATCATGTGGGGAACAACTCTGGAATGGATTTGAGATTGCATCTCGATTGGCTTCACTGTTCGTCTAATTCCGAGTCCGTTTCCTCTTCAGAGTCTTTTGGGGATGATGATCCTGGGAATTCTTTTGCTTTGCTGAGTGATAAAC